GTTCGCACCACTTGTATATAATAAGCTGTAAATATAGAATAAGGTTAAGAATACCAAAGGGATCAAAAATCATTTAACGCTCCCGACACCTTCACGAATCCAGGACGGACACGCCATAATAGGACTACCGCCACATTGGTGACCCCGACGAAGGAACATGGCAAAGAAGCTGGATACCACCATTTTTGTAAGCGACGAGGAGGCAGCAAGCACCAGGGCTGTAATGCGAATACCAGCATTCTGGCCAGACGACCCGGAACTATGGTTCGCACAATTAGAAAGCCAGTTCGCCGTCTGCGAAGTGAAAGGAGACGACGCAAAATACGCGTATGTACTAGCGAAGCTAGAACCACGGCAGGCAAGAGAAGTGAAAGATGTGATCACTCAGCCCCCGCCAGGAAATAAGTACGCAACATTAAAGAAGGCATTAATACAACGTCTAACCGACTCACACGAGCAACGAATGCGGCAACTACTGGAGCAAGAGGAACTAGGAGATAGGAAGCCATCACAGTTTTTACGACATCTTACGACATCTTACGACGAACAGTATCGGACAAGTTACTACGAACATTATGGCTCGGGCACCTTCCGCCACAGGTCCAAGCCATCCTGGCAACAAGAGCCGAGGACGACTTAAGCAGTGTCGCCGAACAAGCAGATCGGATCCATGAAATCAATAGCAGAGCAGTCGTACTGGCGACCACACCGCATGCAGCAGCAGCAGTAACAACACAAGGAACAACGGCAGATCAGATCGAGGCCTTGACAAAACAGGTCGCAGCACTGACAAACCAAATGGCCAAACTCATGAAGCAGGGCAGATCCCGANTAAGGAGCCGTTCCCGGAGCAGAGCCAGGAAGGACGCAGGGGAAGAGAAAGACATATGCTACTATCACCGCAGATTCGGAGAAGAAGCCCGCAGATGTGCACAACCTTGCGCATATAAAACAAAAAACGAAGAGGCCAGTCATTAATGGCGGTAGATGACGAGGGCCCAGGACCACGCCGCCTCTATGGTAGACAGGAAAACGCAAACAGGATTCCTAGTCGACACCGGATCCGATGTAAGCATATACCCCCGGAGGATGACAAGAGGCATAAACCGAGCAGGACACACCATGGAGTTATACGCGGCAAACGGGACGAAGATCACGACATACGGAACCGTCACTCTGCAACCCGAATTCGGCTTACGCAGAACATTCCTATGGCGATTTGTCATCGCAGAGATTGCGCAGCCAATAATTGGAGCAGACTTCCTGGCCCACTTCCACCTTCTACCAGACGTCAGAAAAAAGAGGTTGGTAGACGGAAAAACGGGACTAAGCACGGCAGGGCAAACAAGGCACTCAAAAATAACGTCAGTAAAAACACTAGAAGGAAGCACGCGCTATAACAAAATACTAGCAGAGTTCCCGGAGCTCACAAGGATAGGGGACCAGACAAGAAGAGTGACCCATGGCACGGAACACCATATCACGGTAACCGCAGGACAACCAGAGACATCAAAGCCAAGGAGACTATCGGCAGAAAAACTGAACGCTGCAAGAGCGGAATTCNCGCGGAGCGTCCCTTCCCCCCGCCGGGAGAGGCTTCGGCCTCGCTCCCGAACAGAAGGGAACCCTCGCTCTCGGGCTCCTCGCTCGGCGCCATGTCGTTGGCGAGGCTAGGAGGCCTTGCCGCCCAGAATCTGCTACTATCCGCAGTAGCATGTGAGACCACGAAGCCTGCGTCGCACTCCGTGGCTAACCCTTCGTTGGATAACGACCGAACGGGGGCAGGGCTATCACCCCCGGACTGCCGGGACCTAGGGCTCCGAAACCCTTGGTCCGGTAAGTTTACTATCTTTTCTGAGCTGTCCATCATGTCAGAAAGGGTGGTTTTCTGTTAGGGTATCCTTCCCTTAGACCGGCTCCCCCACTGGGGTAACGAGCCCGGCCGCCCGTGGACACTCCTCTTAGTCTGGTGGGTCATGGAGGCCTGTCCGGCAAGGGAGGCCCTGCCAGGAACCGAAGTTCCCGCCGGCATAGCCCTTCCAATCACTCCCACACGCAAGCCCGGGCCCCACGTCAAGGGGGGAACGTCCAAAAACGCCCGGGATGAATACCGGCCTAAGACAGCCCGATGCATGCTTATTCGCTGATCTTTGGTAATTAAGATCTCGGTAACTATTGCGAATCTAGCAAAATGGTATAAAACTTTTTGACTCAGTTTTACTTCTTCTATTTGTTCACGAAAGATGTTACACCAATTCTGAGACACCCTGTATATTAATTAAAATATTAATTAAAATATTAATTAAAATATAGTAAAAAATACAATATGAGTGAAAAACATGGATATCGATGTTGTGTCAAAAGCTGCCCAAATGCAATTAATGACAAACGAGGAAAGAAAGAAACTTTGTTTCGATTTCCAAAAGATATAAAAGTTAGTTTATTATGTTACTTGTCTTTTCATTACTATAGCTTTTAAGACAAATTGCATGAAAAATATATATTCTAAATATATAAAGAACAATATATATAAAATATTTAAAATATCACTGATCAAAATGTAAAAGTACACATATATATATAATATTTCATAAGTATTGTGATATATTTTTAAAATATGTTTGTTTGATATATTGTCTTTTATATATGTTCTTTATTTTCTTTTTGTTCAGTAATCTTAATATATATATTTCTTGTGTTCGTGTGTATGTCACTGAACTCCTCCTAAACGACTGGACCGATTTTGATGAAATTTTTTGTGTGTGTTCAAGGGGATTTGAGAATGGTTTAGATTCACAATTTGGTCCACTGAAAAATGTTTTTTTAATNACCATCACGAAGCCCGTGGTCAGCACCACTCCACATGGTACCTAAGGAGAACAAGGCATGGAGACCATGTGGGGACTACAGACGACTAAATGCAAGAACAGTACCAGATAGGTATCCGATACCCCACATAGAGGATTTCACACAAGCACTACATGGGAAAAGAATATTCTCAACTATTGACCTAGTGCGGGCATACAATCAAATACCAGTAAAAACAGAAGACATTCCGAAGACAGCNATAACAACGCCGTTCGGATTATACGAATTCGCCTTCATGCCGTTTGGATTAAGAAATGCAGCACAGACATTTCAGAGATTTATGGACGAGGTATTGCACGGTATGCAATCCTGCTACGCATACATCGATGACATACTCGTGGCATCAACAACAGAGGCAGAGCATGAGAAACACCTACGAGAAGTCTTTAGTAGATTGGACAGCTACGGAATAAAAATAAACCCGGCGAAGTGCGTCTTCGGAGAAGAAAGTGTGAAGTTCTTGGGATACCTAGTCACAGGAGAAGGAACAAAGCCACTGCCAGAAAAAGTA